TTACAGACTTTTTACTCATTGAAGGAGGATAAGATAAGGTGTTCTAGCTTTGAAAGGATTATGGAAAGAAATTAACCAGTTGATGGGTAACCGGGGTATCAAAATACTTATTGCATTAAAATAAATATTTTCCTAAGTATTATGTTACAATAAATTGGTTTAGATATTTTTTTATAAAAGTTATCAATAATTACAATAGAAATTAAAACCATAATTATGTTCATTGAGGATTTTCAATATGTAACAGGTCAAACAGGAACTTCAGTTGTGAACATTGCAGAGAACACACCCATCAGAAGATGACCCTCAGAAATAGGACAATTGTAAGTAATCAGTAAAATGAACAGGAATACTTTAATTATGCCAACCATAAGATTTTTAGAGACATTTTTGCTTCTTAAATTAGAAGAGATAGAGGGAAAAACTTGTACATACTACATAACTACTAGGCAACCAGCCTTTAACTGCAGGAAAGCTTTTGGTATGTGCAATACAGCTACATAAAACCTCTTTAGTATTCATGTTAAGTTTGAGAAAGTACCTTAGTATTTTTTCTAGTGTTTGCCAACATTTTCATGCACACTAGCTGTTTGCTTGTTTGTACTATCATTTTATTTTAAATTCTTCAGATGCCCTTTACCTTTGCCAGTTTAGAATCATTTGTTTTAAGGGCATTTGAGGGTTGGCTCCAGAACTTAATTAATTGTAAAGTAAATACCGTGGTACTATTCAGTCATAGGTTATGTTAATACGTGTATAACATTTTGTTCTGATAGAGGTGGCATACAGGAAAAGAAACAATACTAGATATCACTTCAAAGGAATAAAATAGTTTCATCTTGTAGGTGTATTTTATTTAAGGATCACTACTTCATGTCTGATGTGGTGAAAGTTATTCATATTATGTTTGACTGTAATATTTCATATTTTCAACTTCTATCCAGCTTAGTCAATTTTAATTAGATTTTGTGCAAAGCATACCCAAGGAAGAGGGGATGGAGTGTCAAGTGTGTCTCTGTCCCTGTCAATATAATTTCAAAGCAGTTAGTAAGGTTTGGGTCAATTTTAAATCCTCTTTAGCAGAACCATTGGGCTAAAAACAATACTAATGTGAAAGCTTTATCATTAAGTGTAGAGATGTTTTTGAAGATTATGTACCCCTAATGAACTGAAAGTGTTACATTAGAAGTCTAAAATTTGCAAGGAATAGGTGTAAAATCTTTTTAAAATCTCCTTAACAATCAGAAACTAACATACTGTCTAATTGATATGCAACATCGTTTTGTGTTTTGAATGATGATTCCATTTTGATAAATTTATGGCGGATGGGGGGTAGGATGAAGATGCAGTTAGACATAGAAGAAAAAAAAAGAGTTGATAGAATTTAGTTTTTCTTACATTTTATTTATCAATACATACTTCTGAATAAGAAATATACTTCTACTTCTTGGTTGGGTTTGATCAACATAAAGGGTGTAGTCAAGAAAAACATGTTTTATAAGGCAAAGAAATGCCTTTATCTAATTGCAGAATGAATAAAATGGACAGAGGCAGAACTGAAGGAGATGCATGAAATGAGGAATATTTCAAAGATTGCCTGAGCATAATCACTGCTACTGGATAAACATATGGCAATATAAAAGAGCACGGTCAATGGAGGTATCATACAGTATAGGCCATGAGAGACCCTGAAGAAGAAAGTATTGAACAGAAACAAAAATAAAACCATTTTGACATGTATTGAAATATAGGATCAAAGTCTTACATGTAAAATTTGGACATGTAATGACTTTTCTCTAGCTCTAAGACTTTTAACAGTGATGATTTGATTTAATATCTTTATCCCGATTTGTCGAAAAGATTTGGACATAGTGCATCAATTATTTTAAAGTTTTGATACAACGAATTCATTCATTGTACTTGTAACTGAGTTTTCTGGTGCAACACTGTTTTATCGGCTTCAAATCTAAGTTTGTGATTTCTAAACCAGATTAATGACATCATGAAATATCTTTTAACATCGGTGACTATTTAATCCATTCTTTTACATCTCAGAAGTATTTTTATTATTGCAGGGAAAATATGCATTGTACATGTATCTGTAATAAACAAGATTATAGAAATTTTCCATATAATTCAACACAATCTTAGCAACTGAAGACAAATATTTTATCAAGGGTGTGATCTATTTATAAATATGGTTTTCAGCATCTTGCTCTACCTGTAATGACTTGCTCCAAGTTCCAATATTTAAATTTAAATTTTGCAAACATGGTTATAAAATTCTTTAAAAGCCAAATAGTTTAGGCACAAAATGCTTATATATTTCCTATCATTTGTAAAGTGTACACTGAATGAGATGTGGAATGTTAGAATTAAAGTATTAAATATGTTTTGGACTTATGTATGCTTATGCAGATAAATTTGATTTCAACTAGGGAAGGTAAATGTCATACTTATTGGGTTTTCAATCTAATGCAAGAGTATAAATTTCCAAGACAAATTTGACAATTTTAATGAAGGGCATAGGGTAACCCAAGAAAAATTGGATAGGTAAACATCACCTGTTGGGTTTTACTCTAATGTTGGGATGTAATATCCAAGAAGAGTTGAACCAATGTCCAATACCTATTGGGTTTCCTTTCTTATGAAAATAAATATTGAGAAACCCAAGAAGAATGTCCAATACCGTTTAGTTTATATACTATTGAAGGGATAAAGATATCCAAGAGGAATTGAACAGGTGTCCATTACATGTTGGGTAGTATTCTGATGAGGGAATTCTCAAGAAACCCAAGAATTAGACAAGTGTCCATTGCCTGTTGGGTGGGATGTAGATATCCAAGAGGAGTTGGACGGATGTCCATTACCTGTTGGATGGTATTCTGATGAAACAATTCAAGAAACCCAAGAAGAATTGGACAAGTGTCCATTACCTGTTGGGTGGAATGTAGATATCCAAGAGGAGCTGGACAGGTGTCCATTACCTGTTGGGTTGTATTTTAATGATGCAATTCAAGAAACCCAAGAAGAATTGGACAAGTGTCCATTGCCTGTTGGGTGGGATGTAGATATCCAAGAGGAGTTGGACAGATGTCCATTACCTGTTGGGTGGTATTTTGATGAAACAATTCAAGAAACCCAAGAAGAATTGGACAAGTGTCCATTACCGTTTTGGTGGGATGTAGATATCCAAGAGGAGTTGGACAGGTGTCCATTACCTGTTGGGTTGTATTTTATGAGGAGATTCAAGAAACCAAAGAATTATATGAGTGTCCATTGCCTGTTGGGTGGGATGTAGATATCCAAGAGGAGTTGGACAGATGTCCATTACCTGTTGGGTGGTATTCTGATGAAACAATTCAAGAAAACCAAGAAGAATTGGACAAGTGTCCATTGCCTGTTGGGTGGGATGTAGATATCCAAGAGGAGTTGGACGGATGTCCATTACCTGTTGGGTGGTATTCTGATGAAACATTTCAAGAAACCCAAGAAGAATTGGACAAGTGTCCATTACCTGTTGGGTGGGATGTAGATATCCAAGAGGAGTTGGACAGGTGTCCATTACCTGTTGGGTTGTATTTTGATGAGGAGATTCAAGAAACCCAAATAGAATTGGACAATTTACACATGTTCAATTGTTCTTGGGTAGTTTAATCCCTTAGTCAAAATACAACCCAACAGGTATTGGACACCTGTCCAATGCCTGTTGGATACCTTCATTCTGTCCAACATGTAATGGGCATTTGCTTATTATTAATTGGTCATGACTCAAAAAGGTTTCTCCTTTAATACTTAGTTTTGTTATTCAAGAAAGGTTGAACAGAGTCTGAGATGTGTTGATCATATATTTTAATATTAGTTATTTTGAAATATACAGGTGTATATCCTTATTGCTAAGAACAAATCAGTTATGTGTTACAATAAAAGAGCTATATCACAGAAATTGACAAAAATATGGGTTCAAAACCAAAGGTTTTCAGTCTTGTCTGAATATACCAGCAAATATTTAATATTTAATAAATTTGAAATGAATAAAAAACAATAAGAAAAAACCCAATAAAATACGGACACGAGGATTAATATCCAATAAGATTTGAACAGTAACTACCCAAATAATGCTCTCTCGTGTGTACACTTTTTTTGTATCCAATAAGCAGTATCCAATAGGACTTGGACTTGATGTACCCAATATATAACCAAATGTGTGTTCGTCCGTCCTTCCGTCCGTCCGTCTGTTACGCTTTTTCTTTTATCCGCAACTCCTCTTATACTACTGAGTGAAATTTAATGAAACTTTCACAGAATTTTTATTACATATTGCCATTGTGCACCTCCTATTTTACTTTTTTATTCGACACGTATTTTACGTTTCCCAGAGCAAAACATGGACATTGCCATTTTTTGTTTACCTATGACGTCACATAATAGAAGCTTCAGGATAACATTTGATTGGACGAGTTATTCCTCTTTACACATTACTGTAAAACAATATATAGCAACACATCGACATTATGGGAGGCGGGGGGTATCATTTAGTGAGCTCATTGCTCACAGTACCTATAGTTTTTTTCAGTGTTAGAAAGGAGGATATGTTTTTTACATCGTTTTTATTAACAATCCTATATATATATATAAATATATATATATATATATATATATATATATATATATATATATATATATATATATATATATATATATATATATATATATATATATATATATATATATATATACAACAAATCGTCTTGATTCATACAAAATGCAATTCTTCAGCAAATTAAAAAGTGTTTGAGAAAAATAAAACAATCAATTAATAAAAATCATCATTTAAATTTCAACTAATATGGCTTTCATAGTTTCAGATTCTTATCATTAAATCTTTTTTTCATATAAATTACATATCTTTTCAAATACTTTGATTAAAGATTTTGATCCCATTATGACATTTTCTTCAATATCATTTGCACACAAGAGTATTTATGATAGTTGCAAGACTTGGAAACTATATAGTTATATTTTCTTTCTGAATATTGTCTAACTCATATTCACTAAGTTGAAGAGGTATTTATTGTTTTTTTAAATTCTTCGGCAGATTCCTTAATAGACGTGATCTTTTCTGAAAGACTGTTTAAACTTTTTTGGTTTGCAATTATTTTTTCCCGGTTTTCAGAGAGTTCCTTGATAGTTTCTTCGATGAATTTTATTCTTCTTCGCAAAAGAACGTCTGTGATCTTTGATATCAGTTTATTCAATGCATCACCGTGGTTTTCTTCCATTGAGTTGCATATCTTGGATTTAAACAAGGATTTACTTTTTTCATATTCTTTATCTATAATTTTCTTTTTCCTAGAATCGCTACGTAAGTAAGCAATGATTGGGGCAACAACTGGTGCTGAAGCAACAGCTATTGCAAACCCTGCAGCCAGCAGAGGAAACCAAATTGGAGCTGTCGCTATTACTCCAGCTACATAAGGAGCGATTGACTCTTCTTTATAAATTCCTTCCTTTTCTGAGCTAATTACAACGGGAGTTCCGGTCCATTCAGTTTCCATTCTTTCGATTTCGAAAGACATTTCTTTATAGGAACTCAAAATATCATCTTTAATATTCGTGAATCGTTCAAGTACATCAGGCGATCGCACTTTTTCCTCTATATAACGATCAATTCTTTCCCGAACTTCCTCATCAATCACATTTGGAACATACTTCACCTCCATAATTGGAAGCCAATCTTTTGGATTAAGGATTCTTTCCTTTCCAATGTCTGATGACATGTATTCAAAACTTGCATTTGCTTCTTGTTCAATAATATTTTTAATACGCTGACGCCAGAAATGGCTTTTCTAAAAATAAATATTAAAAGAATTTTCATTATGCAAAGAAAAACCTACAAAGCAGAATTTGTTTCAAAAAATATATTTTGCAAGTTCTCTTATTAGTCTACTACCGGTAAAACCGGAGGGGATTCTAGGTTTCTTCTTAGTCTGTCCGTCCCTCTGTCCGTTCGTTCCTCTTTCCGTTTGTCTGTTAGTCTGTCCCACTTGGGTTTCCCCACTTCTTTTTATAAACGCTAGGTAAATTTTGGTATGGAAGTTAAAGCTGATATTTAGCAGAACAAGTTTGCAATTGTTCCCGCTTCATTTATTTTTGATAGAACTATTAATGTTCAAAACTATATTATCTCTTTAAAAATTATAGATTTGAAACTTACAAGGTATGAAACCTAAATTACCTCCGTTTATCCCGTGTATCAATGCAAAATCGATGTGAAATAATTAAGGTCTTCCGTCTCCAACGGAAGACCTTATTGTTTTCGTTCGGTTTCTTTTTCCCTATTATTATTATTATTAAGGTCTTCCGTTTTCAGCGGAAGACCTTCTTGTTATTCTTAGGTTTCTTTTTCACTTTTATTATTATTATTATTATTCTTTTTTTTCTTACCGATTTTGTGCACGCGATTTCTCGAAAACGGCTCGATGGATTTCCATGAAACTTTCAGGACTTATGTAACATTACTTGAACCTTATGCATTTTTTTCCGATTTGATGACGTCACTTCCGGTTTGGAGATATGGTGGATTTTATGATTTTTGAAGGGTCAGGTTGTCCTCGAACGTTCTAAAAAATGGCTTTAGATAGAAACCTGAAAATTTGAGGTATGATAGTCCGAAGTCTATAGATATGTAAAATTTATTTCATTTCTATCGGAAGTGCCGCACGTCGGCGCTCACTTTGGCGCGAAAATAGTCCTATCGCAAATTTCAAAATTTTTAACACATTTTCTACGATATTTTTTTACCTGGAAATATTTTGTTAAAACATAGAGAACAAAAGAAGTGTAGAATTCCAAGATCTTTCAAATCATATCTTGTAAAATGGGCTGGCCCCTAAAATTAAGGGCCCATATTGAGAATTTGTAATACGTCAAAGAAGCAAAATTGTTCAAAATGTCAAGCTTAATCTATTGGGGTCGCCAAAATACGCCCGGCGTCGTCACTTCCGGCCAAACCGGAAGTAGTCGAAAAACGCGTATTTTTGCCGTTTTTAACCCGTTTTTGGGTAACAAATCTCTCTGTGAGCATAGAAATTAATTTTCCGTCCGTCGTAGTCACTTCCGGTCAAACCGGAAGTAGCAAAAAATGGCTTATTTTAGCATTAATTAAGATAAATTAAGGTGATTTATACATTTTTGGCGTTATTACTCATTCTTGTAAGAAAATAAAAGTTACTTCCGGTTACTTTTGGTCAAACAGGACGGAAGACCTACTCGTTGCTTTGCAACGAGCTTTGCTCTAGTTATTATTATTATTATTATTATTATTCTTTTTTTTTTCTTACCGATTTTGTGCACGCGAGTTCTCGGAAACGGCTTGGTCGATTTTCACGAAACTTTAAGATCTGTTAGATATTGGTCTGAACCTTATTGGAAATTTTTTATATATGCGTCGTCACTTCCGGTCGTGAGATATGGACGATTCACTGATTTTTAGAGGGTCAGCTTGTCCTGGCAATCACTAAAAAACGAATGAAGATATTGACTTGAGATTTTCAGTGAAGGTAGAGGAAGGACTGCTGAATTGCTTTTTTGAGTCTATATCTTTCCAGCGCAAAAGGCGTTGAAGGTAGCCTGAGCTCGTTATCATTATTATTTTTTTGACCATCTAATTTTGTGCACGCGATTTCTCAAAGACTACTGGATGGATTTTCATGAAATTTGCAGGAACGATGTGTTGTTATCTGAAGTTATTTTCTCCGAGAGATTTTTTGGAAATTTCTGTCTGGTGCCAAGTTACGGACAATTTTCTGATTTTAAAATGACATTTTGTTCGCGGATAATCTCAAGAACGGTAAAAGATATCACTGTGAAACTTTCAGTGATTATAGATCGTGATAAGTACTATCCAAGAAGGGATCTTTTGTACGTCGTCTCTACTTCCTGTCGTAACGGCAAATTTAAAAAGTCAAATTTTTCTAACTTTTTTGTTTTTCAATATTTTCAAATTATATTAGTATGTTTGATAGAAACATTTCTTATAAGGCTGAATATATAATTTGTTTGTAAATTAATAAATTCAAATTCGAGATATTAACATTCAAAAATCTGAAGCGGGACCAAGATGGCGGTGGTCTCTGTCAATTCCGACATTTCGCAATAGGGGTTTACAGCGGCAGCCGAGCGTTTGCTTGAACGAAAGTAACATAAGGAGCAATGAAATGTGTAGTGATACTTGGATTGTCACGTCGTAGGTTCGTTGCAATTCTGTGTCAAACTACATTTATAATCCAAGGTCTCCTTACAAGTCTTCTTTAATTGGTTTCGGTTGTTTCTCAAAGTAGAAATAGAAAAGGATTAATGTGCAAATTAAGTACAATATCTACTATCTTCTGTTTTGCATCACGGAAACACATAGCTTAAATAATAGTTATTATTAATAGTTTTTCAAGAAACAATATATATAGTATGTACAAAACGTGACCACTGTTTTCCCATGCATACTTGTGTCATATTAAATTAATAGAAAGGACAACTGTTACAATAAGAAAACATTTTTTTTTAAAAGATAACTATTTTTCAGAGACCGTTTAATTGACCTTTATAAACATTTTCTTTCTCAATGCAAGTTTTTGAACATAATGGAATCTTATTCCTTGACCCTCGTACGGCGATCGAGGCATTCTTTTTTATGAAACCTACGACCTTTTTCATGAAAGTGTAGGTAATCGGAATGGTTCACTTTTGTGATTAAGAAGAAAATTAAAAAGTTAACCATTCATAGGTGTTTCACTGCTTTTGTTTATTTGCCTATATACGATATGTTACATGTATGTGTTAAATATATTTTCCACACCTCAAAATTTAGGCGTTAAGAAAGCTCTTTTGTTATTTGATTGAAGCTATCTCACCTATTTAAATGAACATTCCAAGGGAAAGGCGCTAAGATTTACTCGTGGCGTTTGGCGCGAAATTATGAATAGTGGCTCTCCTTTCATAATTGCAAGACAGATTAACTGTTGCAGAATTATATGTACATACCATTGAAGTAGAGTAGTTGTTCAAATAGCGTAATCGATAAGCGTATTTGATTTTCAGGCTAGTGACCCGTTTCAATAACCAGTGTGTCCAAAATATGTTTAATCCATTTCCAGCTCGATTTTATGGGTTATTTTTCGGAATCGGACGGAAGACCTACTCGTTGCTCGCAACGAGATCGTTTCTAGTTATATATATTCTTTTTAATATTAAAAGAGATGTAATTGGCCCAATGGTTCTTGAAAAAAAGTTGAAAATGTAAAAAGTTTACAGACGGACGAACAAACAGACAGATGGGTGGACGAATGAGAAATAATTTATCAGAAAAGCTTATTTAAGCCTTCGGCTGAGTAGAGCTAAAACGAATTTTTCGATATTATTTTTAAAGTATTGTATTAGAAACATCTCATATGGACATTATTTAGAATTTACAAATGTGGGTTTTCTGATGAAATTTAAACGTATTCACTTTCACGGTAGGTGAAAGGAGATTGGTTTCAAGAATTTGATTTTGAGAGACATTGTCGTCCTTATAATAAAGGGTTTTCCTTTATTTATTTATTGTATGTTTTTTAACGTCCATCTCGAGAATTTTTCACTAATATGGACATGCCATAACTTGTGCGTGGAGAGGAAAATGTTAACCTATCCTCGACAAACAGAACTATTGAGCAATGAGTCATATTTTTGTGCCAGCACCTACTACATGTATTACACGGGATCATGGTAATATGGTCTCATCGAAAGGACGTCAAACACGTCAAACAGTAAGTTTCGAACCCGCGACGGTAAAGATCAATGTCTTACTTCGCGTCTAACGCTCTTACCACTTTGAT